TCTCTCTCTCTCTCTCTCTCTCTCTCTCTCTCTCTCTCTCTCTCTCTTTCTCTCTCTCTCTCACAAAAAAAAACTTGGATTACATTGGGGAGCAGATAGCTTTGTATTGGATTGGATTTGTGATGACATCATTCTTTTGCAAGTGAAAAAAGAGAAAGGAGACTCTGGAAGCCAGCAAGCAACCACATAGATAGGAGTTGATAGATAGAGATGAGACCCAGTGTTTCAGGGACCACCGCTGATTTTCTACATCAGTTCGACGTCCAGCTGCTCACTCTCTTCCACACCACCAATTACTGTCCATCTGCCCACAGCAGTCACATTGTAGGTGATCTGAAATGTGCTCACTTTTTTCCCCCCAACACTTCAAATTCAAATAGAAACATGTGCAACCGACTCGTCGGAGCTTTTGTCAGATCTTCTTGCTGTGGGGTCTGAGATCTTGCAGGCAGTTTTGGATTACAGGAAGTAACAGTGAGTCACTAATCTTACTCCTTTCTGACTCAGACAGTTAAAAGTAGAAATCTGATCGGGCACAAAGAGGCCCCCTGTTGTCAGGGGGTCATTTTTTTTCTCCATGTGCTCTGCATTATTAGTGAGCAAAAAGGCAGATATTTACCATACAGCATCATTTAAACCGAACTGGAAGCATTACTAAAAAATGTAGGCAGGGAACTCTACACCGTTTTTTTCCCCCCTCTGCAACAGTTTGCCCAGGATACCTGACACATTACACGGCAGCCTCTGGCACAATGCGAGCCGTACGTCATCTCAAAACTTTGAAGAATTGTTTTTGCACATTTCGCAGACCTCCCATGTGACACCAAATTCAATTTGGAGCGTTTACTGGACATTCCACTGACTTCACCAAAATGTGTTTCAGATGAAAACACTTTACGTAACCAGCTGGCTGTTGGGAGCTGCGTGGAGGGGAACATGGTGGAGTTACAGTAGTGGCAGCGGCAGCTGGAGTAGGCCAATCACGGGCTGACGTTTTACAGCCTCACCAGACTGAAATCCATAAGATTGGCAAAACTGAAATTAAGGGGAGCAGTTCAATTAGAAAGAGTGCAGCTTTCATTAGCTTACCAGAGTCAGGGCAGAGCAACCTCCATATATACTTAATAGTCTTGTCACAGCTGAGCAATCCTCAAGGAATGAACTACTGCTGACCAAGGGAGGGACTCAGTATGGATGTTATTAAGGGATGAAAAGCCTTGATGATAGGCGGCACGGTATTGTGGCATCGCCTCACAGCAAGAAGGTTCCCGGTTTGAGTCCCTGGGGGAAGGGGGACCTTTGTGTGTGGAGTTTGCATGTTCTTCCTGTGTCTAAACGGGTTCTCTCCAGGTACTTCAGCTTCCTCCCACTGTCCAAAAACATTCATGCTAGGTAATTGGACACAGGAAATTTCCCCTGGGAGGGAGTTAGCGTGTGTGGCTGTTTGTGTCTGTGTGGCCCTGCGATGGAGTGGCAACCTGTCCAGGGTATACCCTGCCTCCAGCCCCCTGTGACCCTGTTGGAATTCAGCAATATAGAAAATCGATGGATGATTTTGTTGACGTGTTTGTTTATAAAACAAACAGGTCAAAAAGTTTTTTTTTTTATTGATTCAATCATTTGTATTTTTCTTTGCATTTTGGCTTGAATCCTGAGTCTGGAAAAAAAAATTCTGCCTAATTTTCTCTTTTGGATTCCGTATGATGAAATGTGGCTGCATTGTAGTCAGTCCCCTCAGTGTTTTTTTACTTTGATCGTCACCGAACATAAATGCCTGTTTTGTTTCCTACGTATTTATTTAAATTGCATCAATGATGCATTCAGGCTGTGGTGAGGAAATGGTGATGCAGTCAGTGTGTGGCTGCTGACTTCTGGCACCTTGTGTTGGAGCACTGCTATTTCAGGGAGGAATGACATCTGAAGTTTATGAGACCTTAGACAACGACAACATTTTTAATAGTTCTACATCAAAATCAGGTTTTTCTCTGTGTTCTAATCTTTAAATGCAGGTTTAAGAGTAAAAATTGTGGTTTGCTTCTTTGCTATCTTTTTGTATCTTTTACAGAGTGAAAGTCTGAAATGCTCTCTTCCGATGAACCTGCACACTGGGATTGCTTGAGAATGTCTTCCTGGCATCAAATTTCGAATGCTTTGACTTAAATGACTTACATTTACACTGTCTTACAAGTCTTATAAGGGATATCTTCACAAGGATAATTCTGCCTATCGTACCTCTAATCTGGACTTATTAATCAGAGAAGAAATCGTGTATTTATTGAAGGACATCAAAAAGCACTTTGCAGCATGGTTTCTTTTGCACTAACGAGGTATTTGAAAGCTGTCTAAATTCTGTTATCACTAAACAGCAAAAACGAGAAATCTAGATGACAGTGATTTCAGCTATCTATGAAATTTGCTCACTAGCTGGATAATTATAGGACAGACTCACACTGTTGCATGTTCTTATTTCCATTCTGTGCCGATAAAAGTTAAATGCTTCCCCCTGGTGGTCACCATGTGGAATGAAAGCGTGAAAGTCAGACACTTTATATAAACACTTTATATAAACATGGTAGTTGGAATTGAAGTGAAGGAACATCAACCGTGAAGGGAACAAAAAGCTAAAAACGTTAACTACACACCAAGCCTAAAAGATCAATATTGGAAACAAATTCGGTGGAAGTGTTCCACACCGATTCCACTGTACGCAACAGCCCCCACCCGAACGCTGGATGGCAGTATGGGTTTTTCTATTAGTTTCCGTACAAATTCAAAACAGAGAAGAAGAAGTAACCTAGCTTCAGCTCTTCGCATATCTGTACGCCGGTGAATACTACCTTTTGTGATAAGTTTGTTGTTCACAATGAACGTTTATTTTTTAAATATTTCTAAAAGTATAAATCTATTAATTTTAGTTAGAGTTATAATTACGAGGTCACGCAATTGCTAATCTTCGAGGCATTACAGTTAGCACAAGTTGCTAAAGCAGTTTGTTGTTAGCCATGTTATCATTGCTAGCCTGTTACTTTGTCCTTTGTGTAATACAGATGCAATAAGCAGAATGAAGGCTTTATAATAAGACTCTTAAGGGTATTTTCTACAAATATTCTGCGCGTCTAAATCAGCTGCTGTATTATATCTGTTTTCTTTACGGTAATTTCATTGTCAGAAACATCAATTCAGGTGATGTCATCTGTGCATCTTACTGTGAATTCGTCCTGACTTGGGTCTGTCAGTAAAGATGAATCGTCCAAAACCCACAACACTGAGGCGCCCTAGTGCTGCCAAAACATCAGGTACACCTCTTTCAAGAGCACACCAGAGCATTATCTTACTTTTGTCTCTTTTTTGTTGAACACAATCTATATTTAAGTCTAACATCTGTATGTGACAGGTCATCCTCCTCCTGGAGATTTCATTGCTCTTGGTTCAAAGAGCTCGTCTGGGGAGCCCAAAGCCCCCACTGTCCTCCTGAAGCCTGCATCCACTGGTTTACCTGCGGACCGTAAGAGAGAGACCTCCTCCACTTTGCCCTCCTCATCGGGTCTGTCCACTCTTGCCAAACGGCCCAAACTATCCACTACCCCACCTGTCAGTGCTCTCGGGCGGCTTGCTGATGTTGCAGCTGTCGACAAAAGAGCTATATCGCCCTCAATAAAGGAGCCGTCAGTGGTTCCTATTGAAGGTAAATCGTCAGATTTTGGCCTGTTGCTAATGAAACGTCATATAAAAGTACAAAAACCATGAGTTTGTGAACGATTGCTCTTTGCTGTTGCAGTGTCTCCAGCAGTTCTTCTGGATGAGATTGAAGCTGCAGAGTCGGAGGGAAATGACGATCGCATTGAAGGATTGCTGTGTGGTGCAGTGAAACAGCTGAAGATGAACAGAGCCAAACCTGACATCACGCTGTACCTCAGCCTCATGTTTCTGGCCAAAATCAAGCCTAACGTCTTTGCTACTGAAGGGATCATTGAGGTGAGACATTCAGTGCAGTGAGTGTCTTATACATAATGCCCTGAGGAAGATCTATGTAGAGACTAATAAGAAAATATTTGCTAAATGCTTTGCAAAATTCTAACGTACTTCATACATATAAAATCTATATAATAACATAATATGACAACATTTGTGTTAATCTGTACTTGTTTTGTTATTATGACCAGGCTTTGTGCAGCCTCTTGCGTCGTGATGCTTCTATCAACTTTAAAGCAAAAGGCAACAGCCTGGTGTCTGTCCTGGCTTGTAATCTGCTCATGGCAGCCTATGAGGAGGACGAGAACTGGCCGGAGATTTTTGTCAAAGTGAGAATGTTTATGAAATTCTGAAAAAATCTAATGTCTCCCCTACATTCTAAAATTTATTTTCATCGTGCATGAGATTTTATAGTATTATGTATCTTTTTTTTTCAGGTGTACATTGAAGATTCGCTGGGAGAGAGAATCTGGGTTGACAGTTCTCACTGTAAGAATTTTGTGGACAACATCCAGACTGCATTTGGGACAAAGATGCCTCCAAAGAGCATGCTTCTGCAGGCTGATACTGGCCGTTCTGCAGGGGATCTCAGTGCAGGTTGAATAAATTTAATGCCCTGGTGTGTTAGAAGTCGTGAAGTCAGAGGCAAGTGTTAATTGTCAATTTCCTGTTGTTTTTCCCTTAGGTAGCAGTCCTCATCCCTCAACTCCAGATGAAGATGACAGCCAGACAGAACTGCTGATTGCAGAGGAGAAACTCAGTCCTGAGGATGAAGGGCAGGTTATGCCCAGGTATGACTGCTGCTGATATACATATAAAAAGACCAACTGTATATTCCCCACAAACTCCATCCATTTTTTAAACATTTTTTTTTAAAATTTTTGTATATGCCTTATAATTCTTTTCAAAATGTTTTTATATGATCTATACATCTGTTGGCAAACTGTAGGTATGAGGAACTGGCTGAGAGTGTGGAGGACTATGTGCTGGATGTTCTGAGGGATCAGTTGAACCGCAGGCAGCCGATGGACAACGTGTCTCGAAACCTGCTGCGCCTCCTCACAGCTACATGTGGCTACAAAGAGGCTCGCCTTATGGCCGTGCAGAGGCTGGAGATGTGGCTCCAGAATCCAAAGGTGACGGGTCTAACACTGAGTAATTCAAACCACATAACAAAGTTCAAACAAAAGGTTGTCAAAAGAACATAGCTCCCTGGTTCGAGTTTGGTCGCTAACCCCTTAATGTTAGTTCACACATGGTGATGGCAGTGGAGATGCAGTGTAAGTAAAGGTGATTCTGGTATTTTTGTCCTGAGTGTCCTCTACAAATCAGTCCAGGTAATTATCCTGTTGGTCGCTGTTTCTCAGGGGGACCATCTACTATATTGCTGTTGATTTACTACTTTAATGCTGTAGCTTTCCTCATCAATCTCATCCACTTCAGAGATAATGATAGTATGATATATAAAAGGTCAAATTTAACCTGTTTTCAAAGAGTTCCATCATCTAAAAGCACTAGTTCAAAATGCATTACTTTTTCTTGATTGGTACAATGTCTCTAGTCTTTAAGTCAATTTTTTTTGTGTGCACAGCTGACTCGACCGGCCCAGGACCTTCTCATGTCGCTGTGCATGAACTGCAACACCCATGGAGCAGATGACATGGAGGTGATCTCCAACCTGATAAAGATCCGTCTTAAACCTAAAGTCCTTCTCAACCACTACATGCTGTGTGTCAGGTCTGTACAGGAATGCTCACGTCTTGTGATCAAATTTGATCATTCTTACTTACTGTTCCATTTGTTGTTTTCTAGGGAGTTGCTGAATGCCCACAGAGACAACCTGGGCACCATGGTGAAGCTGGTCATCTTTAATGAACTGTCCAATGCCAGAAATCCCAACAACATGCAGGTTCTGCACACGGTGCTGCAGCACAGCCCTGAGCAGGCACCCAAGGTGAAATCAGATCCTTTTTTTTTAACCTTAGACAAAAACTGTTGTAATCATTCCCCACTTATCGTTTTGGTTTGGTTTATTTCTCTCTAAAACAACTTTCCTCTTGTATTTTTTTAAATCCGTAGTTCTTGGCGATGGTGTTCCAGGACTTGCTAACAAATAAGGACGACTACCTCCGGGCGTCACGAGCTTTGCTCAGAGAGATCATCAAACAGACCAAGCATGAGATCAACTTCCAGTCTTTTTGTTTTGGTTTAATGCAGGAGAGAAAAGAGTCCTGCTACGTGGACATGGAGTTCAAAGTAAAAGGATAAAAACACTGGCCACTTCGCTTGAGCCATTTAGTTTGTGCGTGTGTGACTCTAAACTTTGTCCTTATCTCTCTGGTAGGAGCGTTTTGTGATCCAGGTGACGGATTTGCTCACAGTCTCTATGATGCTCGGCATCACCGCTCAAGTCAAAGAAGCTGGTATTGCTTGGGACAAAGGAGAGAAGAAAAGTGGGTACAATGTTTTTATTTTAAAGGGGTATTCATGGTGTGTGGAAGCAGGCTTGTCTTCAATTTCCATTTTGTTGCAGACCTGGAGGTCCTCAGGTCTTTTCAGAATCAGATTGCCGCCATCCAGAGAGATGCAGTGTGGTGGCTTCACACTGTGGTTCCTACCATCAGCAAAGTCGGTGCGAAAGACTACGTCCACTGGTGAGTATCAGCCAGTATGTGTTTGTTACTTTCCCGCCTGCATATGCTGCCCATGTTTACAGATGCTTTATCCCCTTTATGTCTGCAGCCTCCACAAAGTACTTTTCACCGAGCAACCTGAGACCTATTACAAGTGGGACAACTGGCCTCCAGAGAGCGACAGAAAGTAAGCTCATTTCAACAGTCACACATTTGGTTTCAACAGTCACACATTTTTGTTTCACTTATTTGATCTGATTCTTTTTCCGCCCCTCAGTTTCTTCCTTCGGTTGTGCTCTGAGGTTCCTCTCCTGGAGGACACTCTGATGCGCATCCTGGTGATCGGGCTGTCCCGTGATCTTCCTCTGGGCCCGGCGGATGCCATGGAGCTCGCAGATCATCTAGTGAAGAGAGCAGCCGGAGTTCACTCTGATGGTGCGTGAGGATTGTCTCTGGCTGTGAATGTTCACGGCTGCAGTTATGGGTGTTTATTTTACAATTCAGCAGAATGTTTAAACAGTTCATAAACACTCATACATCGTACCCCTGATGGCTTCCAAGAAGAAACTCCTCATTCATATTTTGTCTTTGCAAATCAGTTGAATAATGTTAGCAAAGTATGAACGAAGGAAGTTGTGTTTGATATTCTTCATGTTTAAAAGATTTAGAGGTCCTCAGAGTGGAAAGGATCCAGCTCATTGATGCGGTGCTGAATCTGTGTACATACCACCACCCAGAGAACATTCAGCTGCCAGCAGGGTATGTCACTGCTTTTTAATGGTTTTTAGCAATACAAAAATGTCATACAAACTAAAAAAAACAAAATCTCCTCATGTTTCAGGTACCAACCGCCAAATTTGGCAATATCCACTCTCTATTGGAAGGCATGGCTCTTGCTGCTTGTGGTGGCTGCCTTTAACCCACAGAAGATAGGTAGAGCCATTAAGCTTATACACAAACTGTAATTAAGATTACTTTTTAATGATCTATTTTAAGATAAATGATTGCCTCTGATTTGTTTTATCATCAGGTTTGGCTGCATGGGATGGTTATCCTACACTGAAGATGCTTATGGAGATGGTTATGACAAAGTGAGGAAAGGTTTATAAATGGGAATCAAGCGGATTTATAATGTGTTAACATGTTGTGTGTTTGCCTTTATAGTAACTATACGTACCCTCCCTGCACTATTACTGATGAGGACACAAAGACTGAGATGATCAACAGGGAGCTGCAGATTTCCCAGAGAGAGAAACAGGAGATCTTGGCTTTTGAAAGCCACTTGGCAGCTGCGTCCACTAAACAGACCATCACAGAGAGCAACAGCTTGCTGTTGTCTCAGCTTACCAGTCTGGATCCACAGTAAGTTACCAAAACAAACAAAGACTCTGTGAACTCTTAACTTTTACAGTTAAGAGTCAGATTTTCTTCCCTTCAAAATTCTGTGACGAAAAGAGGGTCACGTATGGTTTTCTTGTTTAGGGGTCCTCCTCGTCGGCCTCCTCCTCAGGTCCAGGAGCAAATCAAGAGCCTCAACCAGTCTCTACGTCTGGGCCATCTCCTCTGCAGAAGCCGTAACCCAGACTTTCTTCTCAACATCATCCAGAGACAGGTGATTGCCAATTGGACAACTCGTTCTATATCCCCCTGGACTAATATCATTTTATAAAATTCAATTTCATGGTGTTATTGTTATGTGAGTTTTAATTGTGATACATTTCCGACGTTTGGCAGGCCTCTTCTCAGTCCATGCCATGGTTGGCTGACCTGGTCCAGTCCAGTGAGGGGTCCCTGGACGTGCTTCCAGTGCAATGCCTGTGCGAGTTCCTTCTGCACGATGCTGCAGACGACAGCTTGCCAGTGGAGGATGATGAAGAAGGGGAAAGCAAAGAGCAGAAGGCCAAGAAGAGACAAGTATTTCATTTGAATTTTTTGAAGTTACACATATTTTAAATTTTTGTAAACCATCTGGTCACTAAATGGGACTGAGAAAAATCCTAATTAATCTTTCATCTGTTTATGGCAGAGGCAGCAAAAGCAAAGGCAGCTACTAGGACGGCTTCAGGATCTTCTGTTGGGTCCTAAGGCTGATGAACAGACCACATGTGAAGTGCTGGATTACTTCCTCCGTCGTCTCAGCTCCTCTCAAGTTGCATCCAGAGTTCTAGCTATGAAGGTAATGTAAGGCCGAAGCATCTCTTTTAATATTATAGACAGTTATAGATTAAGCTCATGTCCATTCTGATTTTGTGTTCAGGGTTTGTCGCTGGTGCTGACCGAAGGAGGCTTGAAAGATGGAGAGGAGCGTGACCAGCCCATGGAGGAAGACTCTGCAGATGCTGAACTATTGCCAGGGTACCAGTGGCTGCTGCAAGACCTCCCAAAGCTCCCCCTGTTCGACAGTGTCAGGGGCATGACATCAACTGCTCTGCAGCAGGTCAGCCCATCTCAGCAGTGAGCTGTCAACAAGCTGAATTGGATTTGAAGCTTTTATGAGAAATTAAGGTTTCCCTGCTCTCTTGAAGGCCATTCACATGGAAACGGATCCCCAGACGATCAGTGCCTATCTCATTTACCTTTCCCAACATGCACCAGTGGAGGAGCAGGCAGCTCATAATGACCTGGCACTGGTAATTACAGCTTGGCATGCTTGTCTTGAGCTAGTTTTGTTCTCAGGGAGCAGTGCTCACATGTTTCTCTTCTTCCCATAGGACATCGCCCGGCTTATCGTCGAGCGTTCCACCATCATGAACAACCTTTTCTCCAAACACTCCACCAGGCCGGAGTCCGATGCTGTTCTCTCTGCTTTCCTCACTATCTTCTCTGCGTACATCAAGAGGATGAGGAAAACTAAGGAGGGCGAGGATCTTTACAGCTGGGTGAGCAGCTATGTTACAATCAAAGCTAACATTGGTGGAAAGAGAAATTTCTTCTTCCATGACCGGCTTCCTTTCATTCAAATATTGTTGTTTCTTCAGTCCGAGTCTCAGGACCAAGTTTTTCTGCGCTGGACTACAGGGGAAACCGCTACAATGCACATCCTTGTGGTCCATGCAATGGTTATTTTGCTCACGCTGGGACCACCCAAAGGTAGCCCCGCTCACTTTAAAGGGTTCAGGGTTGAAGTAGCCGTAAAATCATGTTTCTCATTGCTTTAACAGGAGAGAGTGATTTCTATGCTCTGTTGGACATTTGGTTTCCTGACAAGAAACCTCTACCCACTGCTTTCCTGGTCGACACCTCGGAGGAGGCCCTTCTCCTGCCCGACTGGTTGAAACTGAGGATGATCCGATCTGAGGTCTCTCGACTGGTTGATGCAGGTGCAGTTTTTTCACTGTGTGGAAAACAATACACTGGAATTATATTTATTTTTCGTTAGACTAATACTGGTGTGTTCCCTTCAGCTTTACAAGACCTGGAGCCTCAGCAGCTGCTTCTGTTTGTTCAGTCCTTTGGTATTCCGGTTTCCAGCATGAGTAAACTTCTGCAGTATCTGGATCAGGCAGTGTCTCACGATCCACAGACCCTGGAGCAGAACATCATGGACAAACGTAAGAATTCCTGCGTTTGCTCTTGTCGTTAGATTTATTTTGTGATTGACTGTACTGTGTATTTTCTCTTCACCAGACTACATGGCCCACTTGGTTGAGGTGCAACATGAACGAGGTGCCACTGGGGGGCATACTTTCCATACTTTACTGAGTTCATCTCTTCCTCCAAACAGAGGTCTGTGGCTTTTTCCTCCAAATGGTAGTTCAGATGCATTATAACATACAACATACTGATGTGAATTGATTCCTAAAAGAATTTCGAGCCAGTAATTACAGATGGGATTTAATGTAAAGTAATTCACAAAAATCTGATTTAAATGCAATCTTTTTATGTCTAAACCTTTTTGCAGATTCTTCTGAAACTAGTAAGGTCAAAGTTACAGTTGAACCTCCTCATAGCTCTCTGAAGATGAGAGCAGCCAGCCAGCTTCCTGCGGTAGGACCTGATGATGATCTCCCTGGCATGTTGCTTCAGGTAGTTTACTCGCTACTTTTTTTTTTTTTGGTGCTCTGGCTAATAAGCTGCTATACTTAATACAATTGTCCTTGAATTAATTTATTCCAGAGTGCTGTTGGAAAAACCTGTGTGTGAAACTGACTAATTTTCTCCCCTGTCTTTGACAGATATTTCCTTTAAAAGTGGATCCTCGCTGGCATGGCCCTCCCCCCAGCCAGCTCTCTCTAGCCCTGCAGCAGGCTCTGGCTAAAGAGCTGATGCGAGCCAAGCAGGGTCAGATCCAGCAGGGAGGCCTGGCCTTTCGTCTCCTGCAGGCCATCACGGCCCTGCTCACGTCTGCTCACGCAGGACCCATCGTCATGTCGATGCACCGCAGCCACGCTCTCTCCTGCCCTCTGATGCGGCAGCTTCACCTCTACCAGGTGAGGCACTCGCACGGCAGCGCATCGAGTCTTTATGCGGATTCGTGAAGCATTTCGTTGTAACGCCACTGTCTGTTGTTTTATCTCTACTCTTCTCAGCGCCTTGTGTCTCAGGACATCACATTCTCCTCACTCTTCCTCAATGTCATTGTGGAGATGTTGAAATGGTTAGACAACCCAACCATGGAGGCAGGACCTCTGAAGAGCCTGCTCAAATCATTTGCTGGTCAGAGTTCCCACAAACACAGGCACAGTGACGGTGAGCTATCATCTCTTTTTCTTTTTTTTATGCTCGCTTGATTTCTGCACATTGACTGATAACGAATTTCTGCTCTGCAGTGCGAACAGGTTTCATCCACCTGGCGGAAGCTTTGGCCTATCGCAGCGACACTGAAGCACCACTGAGGGCCGTCATAGCGATGCTGAAAGCTGGGGAGCGTTGCAATGCGGAAGCTGAGCTAATTGGCAAGGGTATTAACAGAGTCATTACATAGACATGAATATCTATTGTATTCTAGTTAAACTGTGTATCAGATTAGTTCCGATCACATTTAATTTAGTCATTAAAAGTGTTGTGTGGTCTTCCCAAAGAGTCTTCTTTAAATAAAGGAATTCAAAATCGGTGTACTGAAAAACCAGGATCTGGTTTTGACAGGAAAGCTCAGTGGACTTGCTTGCTTGGATAAATAGACTGTCACAGTGATTGAAAACGTGCGAGTCGTTTGATGTCATGTTTAACCTATGATTTTGTTTCAGTGTTACAAGGACTGATGGAGGTGAAGTCGCCTTATTTAGAGGAACTTCTGTCTCTCTTGATGACCGTTGGTACACAAAACGGGACAGCCGGCCCTGTTGCCATGGTGATTTCTTTGCTCCTTCAGGAGAGCGAAGAGCGAGTTGTGAAGAAGGAAGCAGATCTGAAGAGGTGAGCGCAGCGTCTCTCTTTGCCTTTATGCCAATATGTCCAAGCCAAACACATGTTTGACAGAGACATTTAAATATGGGCCCTGTCGTCTGTGGCATCCCCGGATTTGCTGGAATTAGAAAAATAATTCAACAGGATATATTACTGGTTAAATTTATGATTTGTTTGCTGTCATTGTAGAAATAATTTTTTTAAAGATTTCTATTGGAGTTTTTTTGCTTAAGATCCTGATTAATGCAGTCAGACTGTGGAAACAGACAATTGATTTCTATAAAAGTAACTCTTTAGTTTGACTCTCGCCAGTGGCTCGGAGGTATCAAAGTCTGGACTGAGCTCAGGGCTGCTGGTAGACTGGCTAGAGCATCTCGACCCTGAGGTTACTTCAGTGTGTCCAGACCTCCAACAGAAACTGCTGTTTGCCCTCAACAAGGTGAGATAATCTTTGTCATGTCACATCCACTGAAAAACATGTAGCTTGAGCTTTTTTCTTTGCTGTTTTTTTTATTCAAGGCACGAGGAACCCCAGCCTACAGACCTTATCTTCTGGCCTTGCTCACCCATCAGTCAAACTGGTCCACCCTGCTGCAGTGTATCAGTGCTCTGCTCAGCAAGCGCAGAGACTACAAGTACAAGCCTTTATCAATAATCTCATTCTCATCTCATTTCTCAAATGTATCATGGTCTGACTCCGATGATTGTTTTTTTTAACCCCCAGAATAGATCCATCCTCGGCTCTTGACTTCCTCTGGGCGTGTAGCCATATTCCACGTATCTGGCAGGGCCGCGACCAAAAGATACCTCAAGTGAGTTGCATTGAGGTTTCCTTTTTCCACTTTATTTGGATTTCTTTCAAATTAGACTAAAGCAAGAGTTTCAGTTTGGCTGAGACTGACAACTTTAGTGTTCTCCTTTGGTCCTGTGCAGAAGAAAACTGAGAAGTTTGTGCTACGACTCAGCTCAGAGGAGCTCATCAGCCTGGTGGATCTGATCTTGTCAGAGTCGGAACTCAACAGTCGCAGCTCCCCCCACGATGAGCAGACCTCCTGCTCCCTCATTCAGTCCAGACTCCCTCTCCTCCACTCTTACTGTAACGGGACTTTAGAGGACATCAAGAAAGTGTCAGAATACCTTATCAACTGCACAAAGAAGTGGGAAGACAGGTAAGGTTGAAAGAGTTCCAACTATCTTCATCTTCCCATTTATAGTTTGTTTGTCTCTTTTCAGATGTAGATTAGTCTCTTATATATAACCACTTCATGCTTAAGTTCCTCTGCTTTGCGATTACTTGGCCTTTACAGTTTTACATGTCACAGTTTTTAACATCCCAGGTGTACCAGTAAATAGTCCAACCCAGCACATTGTATAATTCTGTCTAATTGGTCCAAATACTGCATGTAATTTTTTTTCTTGTTATGTTGCGCTGATAAACTTCAGCTAAATCGCTAAGATTTTTTCTTCTGGTTGCAGATTAACTTTTTAGACTCCCCCTGTCAGCCACAATGCTGTGGACCAGGGAAAACTCGATAATTAGGTCTATTGGTGTGAAATTAAAACCAGCAGAAGTCGTCTGTACTGTGATCTCTTTAAAAGCTCAGTGTATTATAATGAAGGCAAGAGGATTAAGGCTGAAGCTCTAAACTTGCCTGTGTTGTAAATTCCTGCTCTGACTTAGCTGTCAGAGATCAGGGTGCAACTCTTTGTGGAGGCAAACTCTTCTTTCATGAATATGTCTCTGCTTATTAAACCACTTTAATGAGGAAACTTTGGCCAAGGTCAAGCAAAATTAGCTTCAGAATTACAGCATTTTAAGTACCGCTAAGCTTTCTGGTAATGTGGTTGCGAGTGAGAGCACAACTGGATAAAAACAGGCTGGAAGTAAAGGGCGCTGGCCTTGTGTTGAATAAACATTTGGAGTGTATGTTAGGCATTCTTCTGAGAGCTTTCTGTCAGATAAGATGGTGTTTACTCCGTTTAGACACAGACTATGGAACCACCAGCAAATTCTTTGCTCACAGTCAAGGTCACTCTGATTTACTTAAGGCATCACTGGAATAAACTCTTCAGAGTGAAGCATTTAAGTCTGACAGTATCCTTAACCGGTAAGAAGATTTTATGAGGCTGCAGTGACTTCGGGGCAAATACGTCTGAATTACATTATGCTCTTCATGTTCCTTGTTTGTGTTAATCTACATAAATTCACGTTGCTTTTGCCCAGGAATAACACAGCCCCCTTATTATTTAGCCCCTTAATCTCTTGATTTTCCATCCGCTCTGGTTCTAATCACTTCAGAAGATAAATGAGTTTTTCTTATGTGAGGCTGCTTTATAGTGTCGGTGTGAAAACATGAAGAGGTTGCGTGACGGCACAAAACCTCTCCATTTTTTTGTCTTCTCTTACTATTAATGGCTTTTGGATGGACAGTAGGACCTTTCTAAGACAACTGGCTTTTTTTCCTTTTCATTTCTGTCCATTTTCCATAGTGTACTGAATGCTAAACCTGTGTCTTTTCATCGGTTCTCAGTGCAATGAGCAAGCAGTGCCAGAACCTGCTTCTGCAGATCTATCTTCACTTCCCTGAAGTTATCCGACAAGTTACTCTGCCCGAAGGCACCTTCAGCAGCGGAGGAGCCTCGGATGGCAGCAGCTGCAAGGTAAAGACGACTCACCTGCGTCCCAGCTCACGCTTTCTGCTGAATACAAATGTTATACACATCTTTACTTTTGCATTTGCATCTCCTTCTGTGGGGTAATAATTGGGATCACCTGAAATTAATCAGAACCATGACTTGTCCGTGTAAGAAACAGAGGGCATTTTTGTAAATATCCGTGTTTCTCAGCTGGACGTCCTGGTACACCGCCTGGTCACGCTGCTCGCTGATGTGGGAGACTCCAAATCTGCTGAGGGCCGCATGTCCGACGCCAATCTTGCCTGTAGAAAGCTGGCTGTGTCACACCCTGTCCTTTTAATCAGGTGCTTAACAAATATGTATATACATACAGCATATACAGCATGTTTGTATGATGGAATATTTAGAGGTTTGTAATATGTCGTCTGCTGCTGTGTTTTTGTTGGTTCTTCCTATTGCCACAGACACCTGCCGATGATTGCAGGCCTCCTACACGGCTGCATGCACCTAAACATGCTGGAGTTTCGGCAGCAAAACCACATGACATTGTTTAGCAACGTGCTGGCCATCCTGGAGCTGCTTCAGCCGCTTGTGTTCCACAGTGACCACCAGAGGGCGCTTCAAGACTGCCTCCTGTCCTTTATGAAAGTCCTTCAGGTGCTCTTGTGATTTGAAATCCTCACGAGGGGATGGAAGATTAACTTCAGACAACACAACTTGTTTTAGCCAGAATTTAATGTTTGTGTGTCTCACTTTTTGCAGAACTTCCAGAGGACTCGCTCTCCGCTGGTCTTCATTAACAAGTTCCTTCAGTTCACACAGAAGTACATAACACATGATGCAGCGGCAGCCATTCCCTACCTGCAGAAGCACTCTGACATTCTGCAGTAAGTGAGCAGTTCTGTTTAGATGTGTGGTAAAGTAATCTGAGCGAGTTCCGCTTTATGATTTCGATACAGCTTCTAAATGAAGGTTTTCATTGTTTTTCTTTTCTCAGAAGTCTGTCTGCTGAAAATCCAGACCTGGTCCAACTGAAATCTCTGCTAGCCGGACTCACTTTGCCCGTGAAAAGCTCGTCTGCAGAGGTTCCAGCAGAGGACAGAGATGGTCAGCTTAGTTTAAATTATTTCAGCCTTTAATCCTTTGAACACAGGAATTTTCAGAAATAGCTCCTCTGCAAAATTTAGGCTAAAACAAATAAACTTTTCTACTGCAGTATTACAATTTCACTGATATACCGCTTTCAAACATCTTTTAAAAGAATCCCTTTGGCTCTTTTTGCAGATGACTTGTCGACTGGTTCTCTGCCTCTCGTCAACATATCTGCTCCGTTTTCACTCAGTGCTGCAGACATGACCATTTACTTAAAGAAGATGTCCAAAGGAGAGGCAGTGGAGGGTAACACACAGCTGTTTCACCTGTACAGTATGTGAACCGGTCTCATCCACAATGACTCATGCCGATTACATTTTTTTTTCTTTCCCCATCTGCCACAGATGTGTTAGAGGTGTTGATGGAGGTGGATGAGAAGTCAAGGAGGAGCCCAGAAATCGTACAGTACTTTACTGTGAGTCATGATCAACAGACAAAAAGAAAAAGGTTGAGTGTGTGCAGGTTTGTGTGTAACACGTGAATCTCCTGCTCTTGCCGATGTTTCTAGAACGACCTGCAGAGACTCATGACTTCGTCTGAGGAGTTGTGTCGAAACATGGCCTTCAGCCTGGCCCTGCGCTGCATCCAGAATAACCCCTGGTAGCTTAACACTGACAGCCACTTGTGTCCGATCATCAATTTTTAGGTTTTTATTAAGAGTATTGTTTTCTTTTTTGCCTTTTGCTGCAGCCTGGCAACAGACTTCCTGCCGACTTTCATGTACTGCATGGGTAGCGGTAACTTTGACGTGGTGCAGACTGCGTTGAGGAATCTTCCAGAGTACGTGCTTCTCTGTCAGGGTAAGGATGCTAATAGCTCTATTCCTGTTGCTGCTGCCAAAAAAAACACATCCATAACTGTTATGCAATGTTTTCCTCTCTTTTCTGCAGAGCACGCAGACATCTTGCTCCACAAGGCGTTTTTGGTGGGTATCTACGGACAGATTGACACCAGCTCAATGATCTCAGAGTCCATGAAGGTCCTGCATATGGAAGCGACAATATAACAACTGCTCATCTGACTGAGAACGGAATCATTCGTTCTCCCCATTCCAGAGTTTCTTTATTGTCTTTAAATTGACTTTAGTTCAAATGTTTTTCTAATTTGGTCATCACAGATTAACAGATTAGAGGATTCTCCTTTATCACAATAATGTAATAATGGTTGGAACATTTTGTGACTTCAGAGAATGCACAAAAATAACATCTACAGAAAGTCTAATCTTTCAGCCAAAAACTTTAATCTAACTGAAATATTAGTTACAGGTTGTGCACGTATTAAGAAGTATTAAAGTCATTAATTGGTAATTAATTGGTTATAAAGGCATAGAAAGTAAGATATTTTTTGCTCTTAGACAGGTGGTTTTCCATTTCTGAGGTTATATTAAACAAATAACATCACAGATGTATTCTGTTTTATTTCGAGTTTCGATTTTTCTGGATTCAGTTGCCTGAAAAGCTTTGCTCATCCTGTTTTTCTGTGTATTTCCAAACAACCTTTGCAACCATAACAACATCCAAACAAAATCCAAAAGTACTGCCTGATGTCTGTTTGTGAGCCGCGTTATTGTGACATTAATAAAATAACTTTTGAAATAAATCCCCTTCTCATTTTACATCCAGCTCCACTGACAGTGTTCCATTACAGCAGTTCATTCCTGCAGAGGCAGTGCAAAGAGAGCAGACATGAAATCAGTTTCATATTCAAACTGTAAAAACAGAACATTCAAAACAACCCATAATTACCTTTCAGAACAATATTTAGGCACCTCAAATAATGATTGAGGGAAATATTAAATGGTGAAAGGTTTCATTCCGTTCCAATAATTCCTGGATTGTGATAAAACTGAGACAGCTGTCACGTGTTCGCGCCTGCCTCTCACCCAGGTGTGACACGCAAATTAAAGGCGAGACGCACACGCAGTGATGGAAACCATTTTGCCATGAAAGTGTGAGTTGTTTTTGCCCAGTTGCAGTGACTTCATCCGAATACCTCTTGATGGAGTCAAAAGAATGAGCTCAACAATGTGTAGGCATGCAGGTGAACTGGGAGAGTGGATGTGTCCGTTGTTCATAAATTAAGCATGATGATAATTGCTCCATCACAAAGAGCAAAGGGCACTTTGAAGATGTGATGTGGGTAGGCCGTCTTAAGGTGTGGAGTGCTGCTGGTGTCCTGTTACATGGTAGGACGTGCAGATGATCCTCAGTGACGGTAAAGCATGCCCACACTGGTGGGTCAGTTGAATCATTCATCTGTTATCCTGTCATTCAGAAACAGCCCCGTTTCCTCCTAAAACACAAACTTGTCGACAGCTGTAGAAGTGAAAACGCGACCCAAAAAGATTACTGAGTTCTTAAATTTTTTTTGTCATAGATTCACTTATTTGGTAAGACACGTTTCAAACAGCCAAACATTCCTTCAAGGTATGTAGAATTCCAATCATGTCTCACAAATAATTCACTTTTTGTTCTTCAGTTCTCCAGCCTGATGTGTTAATTGCACCTGTATGGTGTCCTATAACCAGCCAAAAGCTCTGTTTACAGCTATCAATCAACTATCTACGTACACAAGTCTTAGCAACTTGGACTTTTGGTCGGGCGCCAGCATCCTATTGGCTGGACAGCAGTGAGGCGGAACAGAGATGAGTGACAGCGAACGAGGACCTGCTGGGAGGGAGAGCCAGGGCCACAGCACTGACAAGTTAACAACCTCTGCCTTTATTCATCACACCAGCGCCGATGCCCCGAAATGCAGCTGCTAGGAGCTAACTGCTTATTTGTCTGTACCCAACGTGTCCGCTCATGGCGGTTGGATGTTTTCACACTGCATATTTGTTGAAGTGACCATGAGAAGAGATGTCAAGTAATGGTGGAAGAGCATTCATAAGTTTGGTGTTTGGGAACCGTTTTGAGGTTCACATTCCAGATTTTTTTTAAAACAAAAAGGAGCGGAGGAACTTTAAGACAATTAAAAAAAAATTGAAGTTTTGCTCTGTGAGTGGTGGACGGGGCCTCCCGTCCCAGTTGTTTGCAGTTTGACCAAAGAAATGGCTCACAGGGTGTCGGGTTTAGCTTGTGACTTAATGGAGGAAGCCCTGTGCTGAGTCTCACTGGTATCATACTGGTTTCTAAAGTCACAGTTGAGGTTTTTCACCTAGCTAAACCTTCGTGGATAAAGGTTTACTCTTTTTTTAATTGTTTGACGTTAAACGCTATGTGACTTTATTGGTGGTAATTCTTGTGCCGGTTTTGAACGAGCTGATTAATTCAGTCATGCAGATGTTTTCCTGGTCTTGTGAAAACGGACAGTGAATGAGCAACAGCAGGAGGAATGCGACCAGCGGAGGCTCTTGGTGTCTACAGAAGAGGCCCCGATGTGCCACTACCTGCCCATACACATCTGTCTGCTTTCCGTCTTCCTCTCAATGGCACCCTCGTCTTAGATCATCTCCTCTTACTCCACGCTTGAGTTGTACTTGGCTCGCAGGGAAAAAATGTGCTCCAGCTTTCGCCTCTCTTCTCTCTGCCACTTTGATGTCTCAAGTGTGATTGCTCTTGGATTGTGGTCGCTTTCCCTTGAAGGTTTTGACATGAAAAGCAGACGGGGCTCTCAGGTTTATCCCATGACCAGTGATCCAGGACTAAAACAATCAACCTGCTCACTGTGGGATACTATTACAAGGTAGAGTGAGGCACCATGCATAGGGGCTTCCTCAGCCATGAAATACACTTTTTGTCCGCGTTACAAACACATTTTTGATGTGTTGATTGAATTATACCAATCCGTGCTCCCACTAATAGATTTTCTTTTGTGCACACAGTTGACTTTCAAACACATGCCGAAGCTGCCAAAAAGTACGATGCCGACGTGTTTGCACAGAGGTGGACAGAATGATCCAAAATTTGCAATGAATTAAAAAGAAATGAGACTAGTAATTGCAGTTAAGATTGACCCTATCTGATAAGTATGATAATGTGACATGTCATTAACAGCAGAGGCACTAGTGACAACCCTTAAGCCTCACTTATACTTTCATTAAATATTAAATATGTGCTCATTGCTGTTCAGGCCTGAAAATTACACCACGTAGATGAATTCCCATGACAGTGAAGCTGACGATAATCATCCATCTTTGCATGACATTTGGCAGAACTCTTGTTTTATGAGCTGAAGGGCTACAATAGTGGAGGAGAAAGAATAATAACGTGTTCTAGAGTGTTCATGATCACCATTATATATCAGATCTTATCACTTGAAGGGCAGATAGTTAATCCACTTCAGCCATGACGGGGGAAAAAAATCATAATTTAATTTAAATCTCTGCTCACTGAATGTTTTTATGCAACAAATTCTGACAAAAGATTTTTCCTCAGGTGACCCTTGTTAACAGCTTTTCCCCTTACAACCCTTTCATGCACCTATGAAATGATCTACAAGCTATAAATCTATAAAATAATGCCGTCTTATAACTAAACGTGGCTAAGCTTATCACGGTTTTGGTACCTGTCATTAATCAGTGTGTGAGAGAAATGCACTAGATGACTGTGAGAGTTGTTGAGAAATGAGCTACACCCTGGACAGGCCGCCAGTTCAACACAAGCATTTTATTATGTTATTGTGCGTTATTGTGGTCTTATTTAATGGGAACATAGGAGCAGTCCTTTATTTAGCTTAAGTTGCATATTGCATTTAAATTGAGAGATTGAGCCTTCCTGATTTGTTAAAGTTGCACCTTAATACTTGCTGTGACATATCTGCCATCCGACTGGCTTGAAATAGCACATTTTCTCTAAAGAAAAGGAGTAAACATCCATTACAGACAAAATTTTAAAAAATCCAATAACACAAACACAGCCTTTTTATAAAATGGACATTTTAAAATCAGTCCAAAAGCTCACATGTTTAGGCTATAGAAGTTTTCTTCTCTTGTACAAAGTTTTTTTTTAAAACAATTCCATTCCAAGCTACAGACCTGTGAGGGATGTCTCATTTGTGACTGGCTAAACCCACAGATAATGGTCACAGTCTCAGGTTGGAGGTGAGGGAATGACGGTGAGAGGATGACTGACATTTTAGTTTTGGATCTCCTGTGTTGCCTTGTCACTCTGTGTGCAGAAATACCAACACAGCCTGGCATCAGCCATTAACATTGTTGTCTTAATGCCTCCTTCAATTATCCACAAGCAGGTCTTTTGAGAAACTACTGTCACAACCTCCCCCACTGGTTTTGGTCAATTTTATCCCTGATTAACTGGATCAATGGGCATTAAAGGATCCAGGCACAGACAAACACCATAGTTTGGGAGTGGGGAAAAGGGGTCTTCTTTCAGACAGAGCAGAAATCCCTGGAACTATGTGTGTGCCGGGGGCACACGGTGAAGGCCATTCAGCCGTCGGTCCCACCACACATGGTGTTTATTTAGCTACAGGTTGAACCAGACACTCCTAATCTTATTTCGTTTGTCCCTTTCTTCCCCCCTACATCCTGATGCCTTCATATGTTAAAAACAAAAGAGAGCTGTAAAAATGCTGTTTTTAAACTACAGCAGAAAATCCAACTTGTCAATGGTGTATATTCTTTTTTCAGAAATAAGTCCTTTTTTTCTCCAAATGGAAGGAATTCCAGTAATGTTTGTGAAGCAAAGACATTAGGCTTACCGATTCAAGAATACTTAATGCTTTTATGTTGAATGATTCAGAAATTTGAATTATTTCATCAGAAAAGTTGTGAACGTATTTGTACAAACTATCTAACCTTGATATTCACTCGCAATATTGCTTACTGGCTAATCCTGACCTTCTTATTACCTCCACTAATGCATCAATTTGCTGTTTGAACAGGTGCAGATGAAAGGGCCACACAGGTGATAGAGCTGGACTCTCTGTTGGCAAAGGATTGACCATCCCACGACTCACCTGAGCTCTGACCGCCGGCCCACCACCAACGGCTCCATGCTTCAGCGTTTGTGGAGACAAGCACGTTGTTGAGTAATATTTTCCCCTGGTTTAATTGACACACCTGGGTTTAATTCACACGGACAGAGCTTGTCTCATCAGAGATCCGTCAGCACTAAGCTACAGCTGCCACGCTCAGGGACCAGCAAAAAGTGTTAATAATCCTCCTGACTTAGCCGTTAATGTGCTGATGTGTAGGCTTTGATCTGACATGGAAGAATTTCTCCGACCGTAGGAAAAACATGTTACAGCAGTGGCCATTTTGTTTGACCACTGGCGATGTTATGAACAAGGACTTTTTACTGTAACTGTTTCAGGCTTTTGTTTTTTTCTGCAACAGTTCATTTCTAAAAGGAGAGTATGTGCCAGACAGCAAACTCCTCCTCACCGTCAGGGAGGATATTTCAGTGGCAAGACTGCAAACTTTATCAGTACAAGAACTGAAAATATTAAACACGGAGAAAATACCTCTTATGCAAATGCCGCTCTTCAAAGTTTGGCTTCAAAGTCTGTTTTAGTTGTCATGATGGTGATCAAGTTTTGTTGCTTTATCTAGTCTCCATCAGCAGAATTGAGCTTCCCTTTTCGACTCAGCCACGTTCATAAGCATGTTTACATGGCATGAGAAAATGGATAATTGTGATATTCTGACCAAAAACGAATTTTTAACAATGTATGTCATCTCTGAAATTCCATAAAATCGAGTTTATTAAAATGAGGACAGCTAAATCGGACCATTTCAGTTCGAATCTCTGCTGCGTATATATGCTCAGCTAGACAGAAATGGGCCAATGCATTTTGTACACGCACCAATTATTATCTTTCAACTTTTAATAGTAGTAATATAGTAAGGTGTGTATTTACGCAGCTGAACTTGCAATGAAACACTCTCTAAATTCAGTGTTTCTTTGCCTCTTTTTTCAGATGGCATCAATTTGTGACAGCAAGCCCATTAAGCATTGAATATTTTTCCAGATGTGTACAAAATTCTTAATCTAATTCAGTTCAGTTGAACTACATGTACAGTAGGGCCATCTTATTAAAGTTTAAAGTGGTATTGTAGAGTCTAGTAAACTGACAAGCTGAACAGTATTAAAAACCAGACCCCACTGTGCACTCCAGCCCAACATGTCCTTCATAGACAATCGATGGATTTTACTGGACATGTTTTAAATTTTAGCAGAACAAACAGCACTCCGCCGGTCATTTCATGGGAAGTTTGAGATCTCCTCACACTACAGCAGAGCCTGACCACAAGGAGCCGTAGGAGACGTCTGGCGGAAACCGAACTGCAATTCATCTGACACTTTAAGGAGAGTGAAGGGAAAACCGCCAGAGCGTGCTGTGATGGCAATAGATGAACTCACCTCCGACCAAAAGTTGTAAAAGCAACAAATGCAAACAAGACATTAAGGGTTAGTGCGTCCACAACAGTAAAGGCAAAATACACGACTTGCAAAATATCAATGCTTTACATTTTGTTGTATTTTTCTCAACCGTTTTATAGGAGCTAATTTGTGCAGTTGGCAGACTTGTTCTGTCATGTAAAACAAGGATTTGCACACTAAAATGAATTATTGTTGCTTTACAAGTTGACGGGATGCAGAGTGCTGAGAAAAATCAGGCACCACTCTGCCAAAAACAATTAAATTAAATCACCGCAAAGTAAGCGTCAGGTTACAAGCATGGATTAAAAAACAGTGAATACACTTACAGGCTGTGTCACTTTGTGTGTTTATCCTGAGACCTGCTGTTCAGGGTTTGCTGCCTTTGTGTTTACCTTCATCTCACAGAACCGAGCAGCTGTTTTCATCACATCTCTGTTTGCAGCAATTTGTTCTTACAAAATGTGCCAACTGTTAAACTGGTTAGAGTGCTTCACAGCTCATAAAGCCACCATTAGTCTCACTCACTGACATCTCAGCAGCCAAAGATGTTGCAACTTGTCCAAGTTAGGCAGAGAGAAAGAGAAGTTTTTGTATAGTGTCAGGTAAAAAAAAAAATGCTGTTTTCTTTTTTTTTTTTAAGGAGCGTCTCAATAATATGAACCCATTATGAGATGAGCTCCAGGTTGGGTTTTTATCTTTGTCCTATAAACTTTGTACTGCTGTCTGTGTGGATGTCATGTGACTAGGAGAGGAGGGGGGAAACCAAGGTGAGACCACCTCCTGCACTCAAGTCGTACCTTTACTTTTCAGGCAACACCTTCTACCTGTGAGCAGCAACAGAGTGGAAACATCATACCTGAGTTAATCTCTGCTCAACCAGGACACTGGGATTCGTCTCACCATTCCACTTGCGTCTGTTCATCAACATTGCTGGCCCTTTCAAACGGACCAACACTGAATATTGGACTCCTATTCACGTGGACATGTTTGGCCCAGGTCAGCTGGTATCAACTCTCCTTCCTGCAGTTTTCCATTCCCCTGCAGCTCATTTCTTCCCTGCGTTCCCAACCAGACTGGGCTCTCCACCTCAGATCCTGATCCCGGGACCCTTTATTAGCTACGAATCGCTGAGGAATTATCTGCAGCCCGAGCCATGCAAGGAGGCTTTCCTGTTGGCCACACAGGCAGTTGGGATTGGGCCACTAACAGAGAGCATAGGTGAGTTCCAGACCCCACTACTTTGGCCAAAATCGGACTGATTGTATAATACTTGAGTACTTCGGAGAAAGTCCAGCCAAACTGGCACTCTCGGCTTTAAGACAGTCTGTGAGCACCATCTGACTGCAGTGTAAATGTTTACAAAAGACTGACTAACAGCTCGTAACTAACAATCAATTATCAAGCGCTGCTAAATGATTGTAATGATTGCAGCGCTAATTAGCCAATCTGAAGCCATTAGTTCCTTGTCACCCATTGGTGATTATCTAATTGGTGCTTGTGCTGGGCTTTCCAGATGAACAGAGGCCAGTGAAACAGCGACGCGCACGAGCCAACTACAGCAGCTGGCAGCTGGAGGAGCTGGAGAAGGCGTTCGAGACCACCCACTACCCGGACATCTTCATGAGGGAAGCCCTCGCCCTCAGATTGGATCTGATTGAGGCCAGAGTTCAGGTAGCAGGAACACTGATCTCCTTAAGCTGCTGTCTCTGCAGTCCTCTAATTTCTCTGTTTCTAATTGAAAGAAATTCCTTTTATGTGCAACGTGACTGTCAATCCACACAAATTTAGATATAGATGGATTAATTCTCCCTGCTGAATTAATATGCACATTTATTTAGTAACTTTTCCTCCCCTACATTTAAATACGGCCCTTTTCATGTTAATCTTTCTTATCTTTTTTATTCGTTTTAAGGTTTGGTTTCAAAACCGCCGCGCCAAGATGAGACGGCAGCTGAAAGTCCAAGGCCAGCACGCACGGCCTCATGCGAAAAGAGACGATAACGACATGTCCGAGAGAGTGAGCAAGAGTTTAAAACCGACCGAGAATTCTGACGGTGAGCACTGGGATAGACAGCAGGAAAGAGAGAGAGAGATCTACTCATGGACACAACCCCCTCACTCCGTGCTGAGCGCGTGCGAGCAGCCTGTGGCGGCCAGGTCGGGGAAGTGGGAGAGGCTGGAGGGGCTGAGCTCAGAGGAGCTCCGTTCCTGCAGCATCGCCAAACTGCGGGCCAAAGCCAGAGAGCACGAGGCCGAGATTAACGGCACCGTAAACATGTCAGCAGGCGACTTACAGCCACAAACACAGGAAACCCACGCCGCGCACAGTGACTGATCGCTTTCCTGTTTCCTCGGTGTAAAGATAACTGTGGAGAGATCTTGACACTGTATTAATGTGCTGTAACTTTTTCAACTTTCTAGGGATGATTTTAAATCAATTTAGGTTTCATTAATGGAATACCCCCCTTTTCTTGCAAATCCACACTATATTCCAGAAGATATGAAGCATGCCAACACAAAAATGCATTTTCAATTGTTACTAACTTCTTTTTTTAATCTATTTTAGGACGCTTCCATGACATCTTTATTTAAAACGCAGCTTTGGAAGTTTCAGTGATGGACATGTTTCACCTTTTTGTCTGTTTTCTACACTAATATCAGACTACATGTTTTAGAAAAGTCTCAGATATTGTGAACGCACAGCTCACGTCAGTTTTCTTTACATTTGAAATGCGACTGATGTCATCCGCTCTGACAGAACAGTGCCTGCTCTTTGCTGAGACTTTATTAGATAAGACAAAAGACAAATGTTCGGGAGACTTGGGGTACAGCTAAAATAGGATACAGTCATGACTTCCCCAACCTTTTGGGTTTAAGTCACACACAGGCAGGATGTCTGCCTGCAGACACATGTCCGCAAAGGAAACAATGGAAATAACACAAAAATGAAATCATGAGGACAGGCTCTACATTGTGTAGATTACAAAAATGAGCATTAAGTTCAATGCATCAGGTTCACCTTGACAGTATTTGGTTATCGTGTTTTGCGGTGCAAATTCCACTCACAATCTAAAAAGGGGGAAAAAAGGTATTCATGTAACGTTTACTGTTTTTATTAAGTCATTTAAAAGAATATTGAATTTGGAATGATATTAGAAGATTATATATGTGTGTGTGTTTTTTTAAACTAAATTACATTAGACTCTCAATATGGCCAAATGATCCTGTATTATATAAAGGAGTGAAGTTAAGTAAAGTTCTACTTGCAGTCTTCCAGTGGGACAATGCCCCCTGCTGGGCATGACATTGTCCTCACAGGCAGGAAAGATGACAAAGTTCTGATGTGTCTGCACTGCGCTCTTTGAAAAACAAATAATGTCACATGGTTGATATTTTAACAACAGTTGTAATCTTTCCAAACTATTTTTTGACCGCTGACATTTTATTAATACGTTACAATAAACATTTCAACTTTATTTGTGAAGCCTTTCCATGAATGAGGTCAGAGTGGGTTACTTAAATTTCAAAGACTCAATTTCAGCTCTGGTCTCACACTAATTACATTCTCTGTGTAACAGGTTTGAACTTCTCCTGATGAGGCCAGTAGGTCACATTTTATATGAGGCTGTTTTAAAAAAATGGGTCAGAGAAGCACACTGAATGATTACACTTCTTATGGAGGTGGTAGAACTCCCCACAATCAGCTGGAAATGTGAATGCTGGTTGAGATATTAAGTTTATAGGAACACTGTGTAGCACCGTATGACATGGGCTATGTGGATCAGTCTCTATATGATGATGGTTGCCCTCAATTAGTCCACAGTTAGGCATCAAGTAGAGGAAATAAGAGCATATCATAGATTCTGTTAGTAATTCTCATTGAAATTCTCATTCATTTATTCTTCTGAAATTTTGGACCATGTATTTTCAGAAAATGGAAACTGAGAGATAACTACCATCAAACAACTTAATTTAAAGTGGAGGTTCAAACTGTATGGAAATGATAAATAAGCATTTTTTCTGCAGATTGTCACAGGCCTGCTACAGGCTACATTAACAGGTGAACTGTTGTATGGGGAGAAAAGTGAGCCAAAGACATGAAGTAAAATCAAGTTAAAGACTCTTTCATTATGACTGATGGCAGTCGTATCCAGATAGTTTCAGGAGACACCGTGATGCACTAAAAACAAACTAAACACAAAATGGCAAAGTGGATTTTTTTTTTTATGTGGCCTGTGTGGACAAAACACCTGGCAATATAACACAAAAAAGTGCAACTTGAACCTGCTTTGATGAAAAAGGGTTTTTTAAATCGACTGTCTTGAATGACAAATCACCAGTCGGAGTCAATTAGCCTAATGAGCTGAGGCACGCGCACACACGCAGCAGACCAGAAGCAGACCAGCAGCAGATCCTCGTCCTGGAGAGTCGACGGTCAGTCGGGTCGAAGAAGGAAAACAGGACGCAGCTGCCGCGCCGCAGTTCACGGACAAACCCCGAGCAGACGCTTTTGTTTGATTCCTCTTTTCCGGCGCCTCCTCCTCCACCTCCTCCTCCTCCGCCTGTTGCGCACCGGGCGCGGTGCCGCTGGAAGCATGGCTGCCATCAAGGCTCTGGAGCTGTGGTGTAAAGTGCAGTGCGACGGCTACCGAGATGTGGCCGTCACCAACATGACGACTTCGTTCAGGAACGGAATGGCATTTTGTGCGCTCATACACAAGTACAGACCGGATCTGATGTAAGTATTCCACTCTGGGAGCATTCAGAAGGGGGTTCGAGGAGCATGTTATTATTCTCTGGGTGGTTTGTGTTTTTCAAAAGGGATTTAGCAGACATTTAAAGTGTACATGTTTTCAATTAAGCTCATTATTTTGTATTGTTCATAAAGTGTTGCTGGACTACTGATTAAATATTCCCTCTAAGGAACCCTGCTTTTAAAAATAAAGATGATACCTCGATAGATTCCAATTTAAATTAATCCAATCTTGGTTAAATGAATTTTTTGGCTCCCCTAAATATGAAACCTGTGTGTTCATTGTCTGTTTTCCCAGAGACTATGACTCTCTCAGAAAGGAGGATGTGTTTGAGAACAACAGACTGGTAAGCTGTGAAGTTGTTCAACCTCTGCCTTCCAGACAGGGAATAGACTCCACACTCCAACTGCTAAATTTCATATAGCTCAAATCATCCACTTTATTAACCCGGGGTAGGCGACTCCACAGGCAGCAACGGCAATATTTGTTTAATTTCCTGCCATTTCTGTGATGGTTTGCTTAGATATTTGTGCTGTGTCCATGTTTTAACAGCGCAGCAGTTTCAGCCGACTCCTAAACCTCTAACTGTTCACTTAAACTCATTTATTTAGTTAACCTCTGTATGGTTTGAGCACAGCAGAGACGCACACACAGCAGAGACATCTCCATTATTTAGACCCCGCGCATCATTCTGGCTTCCTCTGAGAGATGAGGCCCCCCGCAGAGTGCTACAGTATGTATGACTTTCCTGTTGTCCTGGATGGTCGTGGCAGTGTCAGCAACAAACCCGAGCTCCGGGGAGAGGCTCTCCATCCTATTCATTTTGAATGAGGCTAGCTGTCAGTTGCCACTCGATCCACATGAAGACGCTTCATTTGAGCACACTTCTGAGCTGCACTTCTTTTAAAGCAACAAAAGACGGACAGATTTGGGGTCAGAGTAGCATGTTTGCTCAGGTTAAAATTCTAAGCTTGTTTTTAAGATTGTCCCCTGAGCTGAAATATGAGTGTGTAGTAATTCACACCCCTCTATATTTAATGACAAGTATCACGTTTTTCTGTTTTTTAACCAGAGGTTATTTACTGAATTGGAAATGCGTATGTCGTAACAAAACTGTCTCTTGTGCACTTTTTAGCATAGTTTTTCTCAGTAAGGCATCTCTATATAGCGGTACATTTAATGGACCTGTCATGCCGATCTTAAACAATACCCTATCCATCCTTTTTCTTATCATACAAGCTCACAGGAAGTCTACCATTCATTATACACGCCTTTTCTGACCTCTGAACAGAACACTGCCAATCTACTTAAAGTAAACTCTATTGTTTGTTTTTTACTACCATTTTAGGAGCCTGACTTCCTGGCAAATACCACATTTAGTATATATTTATATTTTCTTTTTCTCAGACTCTTGCTTAAATTTCTTCTTTTTCAGGCTTTTCAGATCGCAGAAGAGAAGTTGGGTATCCCAGCTTTGTTAGATGCGGAGGACATGGTGGCCTTAAGGATCCCTGATCGACTGAGCATTCTAACTTATGTCTCCCAGTACTACAACTACTTCAAAGGCCGAACTCCGGGTGAGTATATGCCCTAAAGCCTCGTCCTTCTTCAGTTGAAAGTTGTCTTTTGCATAACATAGCCCCTCAGTAAAAGGTTGATTGTTCTTATAGAATTGGGATGTATATTTTACACAAAATGTTTGGCTGTCCTCAGTGGGGGGTGTGAAAAGGCCAGCAGAGGGCTCCAAGGAGGAGCCATCGGAGAAAAAGAATCTCCCAGTGGTTGCCAAAAGCTTTGTCCCTAAAACTGGCGTTGAAAACCGTTTACCCGCGACCCTTTCGTCTCGCACCTCACCCAAGTTGGCCAGAGTTGCTGCTCAGGTTGGTGTCCATGTTCTAAAAACACAGT